TATTTTCGGAAAAATTAGACACGAGCATCCTATTGCGTTGAATCCCCTTAATAAATGACACAGAATCCTTTTCTGTTTACCGATTGCATCCACGAATAATGAAATTTTTAACCGCGAATACAGGAACTGTGTTGCAATTTTTTCACCCGCGAATAAGGAAACCGTGAGTAAAGAACTTTTACTGTACTTAATACGTGTTTGGATTAAGTATCTGCTCTGACGATGAACTTAACAAAAGACGCACATGATGTTTATCATAATTATACCTTCAGTTTTGTAAAACAAGATAGTTCTCTTTGAATGAAAGCACCTACGTACGCAAAACTATCATTTGCATACGCATAGATAGTAAGTGAATAATGCATTACTTACTTATGTCAACTATATAATTTTGTTAATACAGGCATATATTATTCATTGTAATGTGTAATTTTTAAATCACCAAAATGTAAAATTAAAAATAAAAAAAGGATTTAGCATTTGACAGATTTAAATACACCCTTCGCGATTTCTACTACTTCTAATTAATTACAAACTCCAATTTCCATTTTATCATATACTTTTTAAATATTTCTAATTCTACTTACCCTATTCAAAAAGAACTTTCGAGCATTTTTAGTGAACTCTTGGACTTCAACAATGCCAGTTTCTGAAAAAAGAAAACTTGCTATAACATTGAAAGTTAATAAATAAATGAAATTCTTATCTAAAACATCAGAAAAATCTAATAAGTTTACAAAAATAAGAACGTTAATACAAATTATGTATTTCAATAATAACAATTATAATACGAAATATTGTAATAAAATTTCGTAAAACGCTTGTTGTTAGATAATAAAGTTGTAGTGATCGTTTTATAAGAAAAAATTCCAATTTTGTTTCTTTTTATAGATCGATGGTAAAATGGTTTTCGATGTAATTCAGCGGATGGAAGACACTGAACCATTTTCAGAAGAACTTCTCGCTGCAATGAAAAGGCTGTGGGCCGACACGGGGGTTCAAGAGTGTTTCGGCCGATCTAATGAGTACCAGCTCAATGACTCTGCCAAATAGTAAGTTAAACTATCTTTTTCTACTAACTAAATAAAGTTGAACTCAATGCATTAGTTTAACTAATAGAATGAGGGGGAAGGCGATATATACTAGGGTCAATTGAAAAGTCCCCGGCCTGACACTTACATGGCGGCACCAGAACTAAATCCATATGATTTTCAGTTAGTCCTAACCTTCAAAAGACGCGTCTATAAATTTGACGGCTGTCGGATCATTAGTTTGTGAATTATAGCATTTTTAGTGAAGCAACTTTTGTTATTGTGAAAAAAATGGATAAAAAGGAATTTCGCGTGTTGATAAAATATTGCTTTTTGAAGGGAAAAAATACAGTTGAAGCAAAAACTTGGCTTGATAACGAATTTCCGGACACTGCCCCAGGAAAATCAACCATCAAGGATTGGTATGCTAAGTTTAGACGTGGTGAAATGAGCACCGAAGACGGTGAACGCAGTGGACGCCCAAAAGAGGCTGTTACGGACGAAAACATTAAAAAAATCCACAAAATGATTTTGAATGACCGTAAATTGAAATTGAATGAAATAGCAGACACTCTACAGATATCAACGGAACGTATACATCACATCATTCACGAATATTTGGGTATGAGAAAGCTCTGTGCAAAGTGGGTGCCGCGCGAGCTCACTTTTGACCAAAAACAACGACGAGTTGATGATTCAGAGCAGTGTTTGAAGATGATCACGCGTAATAAACCCGAGTTTTTGCGTCGATATGTGACAATGGATGAAACATGGCTCCATCATTTCACTCCGAAGTCCAATCGACAGTCATCGGAGTGGACTGCACACGATGAACCCGCTCCAAAGCGTGCAAAAACGCAACAGTCGGCTGGCAAGGTTATGGCGTCTGTATTTTGGGATGCGCGTGGAATAATTTTCATTGACTACCTTGAAAAAGGAAGGACCATCAACAGCGACTATTACATAGCGTTATTGGACCGTTTGAAGGACGAAATCGCCGAGAAACGACCGCATTTGCAGAAAAAGAAAGTCCTGCTTCACCAAGACAATGCACCGTCTCACAAGTCAGTGAAAACGATGGCAAAAATTCATGAATTGGGCTTCGAATTGCTTCCGCATCCACCGTATTCTCCAGATCTGGCCCCCAGCGACTACTTCCTGTTCTCAGATCTCAAAAGAATGCTCGTTGGGAAAAAATTTTCGTCGAATGAAGAGGTGATCGCCGAAACTGAGGCCTATTTTGAAGCAAAGGACAAATCGTACTACAAAAATGGTATCGAAAAGTTGGAGGATCGCTATAATCAGTGTATCACCCTTGAAGGGAATTATGTTGAATAAAAAAAACGAATTTTGCAAAAAAAATGTGTTTTACTATTTTAGGCCGGGGACTTTTCAATTGACCTGTTATTTCAACTTAAACAAGGACCAACTACTTAAATCTATTTGATAATTATAATTTTTGAAAAGTTTACAACTTTGTTATATTTCATCAACTTAAAGCCCTTCTTTACACTTAAAGGGACTTTCACTTTGATTAATAAGTTAGCAAAATTTAATTTTCATTAATTACTCAAATGTGTACTCGATTACGAAGTCATTCAACTTGGAGCTAAGTTTCATAATCTTACTAGATATTACTAAACAGCGCATTTGTAATTAGGTTTTGGTTTATTAAAATATTCAATTATCGTTCTGCTAAACCTTCAGTTGATTCCATAAGGGTTTAAGTTCGTAGATTTAGGTTAGAAAAAAAACATTTATTCACTATGTATGTAGGTCAAGCAGATCAAATAAGATCTAAATTTTTTATACCTGCGTTCATGTTTATCTGTTTATCTCTGAGAAATTCGAAAGGAAATGTAAAGAACCTAATCAGATTTACTTGAGCTGATATTTGGAGCAATTGTGTCAGATTTTATACGTACGTTTTTCACAATTTCGATACAGAGTAATCGCGTTATGTTTATTTATAGTGTTTCCTATCTACCCCAATACTAGTTTTAAATGAAACATTTGCTGATTTACCAACAGAGGAATTAGAAGTATAGAAAATATATATTTATTTTATAACGGCTGATTTGGACTTGCGCTAAAATTAAACTTAATAAATAATTAGGATTCAATAATTTTTCACATAAACCGATTTTCTTTTTGGCAACGACATTTTTGTTTTTCTATGAAGTTAAGAATTTCTTGGTACATTTAATTAATTTTTAAAATTTTACGTGTATTTTTTTACAAACTGGTCTACATTTTATTAGCTTGTCCTTTGCCGATTTTCAAATAAAATAAAAACGATTTATATACGCAGTTCTAATCCTGTTAAACCCATTGGGTATGTATAAATATATGCGTAGGTCCGCGTTCTATCAGTTATCGAATTACGTCAAGCATTTCCTAAAATATCCACATTCTGTTCTCTTCATAAAAAGTTATTTCTTTCGTTCGATTGCTGGACAGGCCTTCATCACTCATTTCTGCCAAACACTTAAAAATATTTCAAAACATTCAGAAAAGTGTTACATTTATTTATAGTAGGCTTCGTACAAAATGATGCTGAAGTTTGATCTCAAATGATATAGCTATAGTTACTAGAACTTCCTACACAACAAAAGAATGGAGACGAAACACTTAATCAACATAGAGAAGGCTGATTAATTACGAAAATATGTAACAATAATAAAGAAAACCGTTAATTTAAGATAATTCGAGGCATCGAAGGATCGAAGAATGCGAAATTAGAACGAATTCTATTGGTGCATAATGAGTAATCATGAAAAAATGATGGTAATAAATTCAACAGAAAACAAAGCTTAATAGATTAATTACGGTAATATTCNTCTTTTGCACCCAACTTCACATTTAAGCCGTATAATTTTTATATGCTTTGAGAGCTCATATAGCAAGACTTGTGTGTGAAAAATTCCAATTAATTCTACACAGTAGTAGTTTTTGGTTAGTGCCCTTTTAAATATGGAGAGCGATAAGCAGCATTTTCGACATATCTTACTGTTTTACTACAGAAAGTGAATTAATTTTTAAAATTTTACGTGTATGTTTTTACAAACTGGTCTACATTTTATTAGCTTGTCCTTTGCCGATTTTCAAATAAAATAAAAAAACGATCTATATACGCAGTTCTAATCCTGTTAAACCCATTGGGTATGTATAAATATATGCGTAGGTCCGCGTTCTATCAGTTATCGAATTACGTCAAGCATTTCCTAAAATATCCACATTCTGTTCTCTTCATAAAAAGTTATTTCTTTCGTTCGATTGCTGGACAGGCCTTCATCACTCATTTCTGCCAAACACTTAAAAATATTTCAAAACATTCAGAAAAGTGTTACATTTATTTATAGTAGGCTTCGTACAAAATGATGCTGAAGTTTGATCTCAAATGATATAGCTATAGTTACTAGAACTTCCTACACAACAAAAGAATGGAGACGAAACACTTAATCAACATAGAGAAGGCTGATTAATTACGAAAATATGTAACAATAATAAAGAAAACCGTTAATTTAAGATAATTCGAGGCATCGAAGGATCGAAGAATGCGAAATTAGAACGAATTCTATTGGTGCATAATGAGTAATCATGAAAAAATGATGGTAATAAATTCAACAGAAAACAAAGCTTAATAGATTAATTACGGTAATATTCGGTTACAACAAGTATTTACTTTAGGGGTCAGTAATAAGTAAAAAAGTTGCTACTACAATTAAATAGATAATACGTTGAATAAAATAATTCGAAGTGGTCTGTATTCAACTGCCACACGCGGATCGCGATTTCGATCTTTTTGGATCTCATCAGCGGCTAGATGTATACTCCTGCGAAATCGGTCCAGCAATAAAGTTAACAAACATGAAAATTCACCAATCCTAACGTACCACTCGTGTTTATTTCGTTGTTGTTTTCCGTGTACAGATTAGCATTCGTTAATAAATATTCCGTTTGTTTCAGAATTATTCACGAAAGTGGGTTTACAAGTGAAGACTTCAAACAATATAGACCGGTAGTTTACAGCAACACGATACAATCGTTAGTAGCCATTCTAAGGGCGATGCCGAATCTTGGCATTACCTACGGAAACAATGAGAGAGAGGTAAGCATATTCTTCCGCTCAGTGAACCGGATAGAAGGGCACAAAACACCTTCATTAGCGAAACAGAGTGTTCAACTAGGTATGTCCCAGATATTTTAAACAAAACCTTTTGAATGAGGTCGAAATTCGACTTAACTACATGTAGGTACTGCCTTAAAGAGGTTTGGAAGTCATATCGTAAACGAAATTAATTTTTTAAAATTAATGTGATTTTTGACGATTTTAAAAAATGGTGAAACTTTTCATCTGATAGCTAAATTGTTTATTTTATTTCGTTGTCAATTTTTTACAATTCTACTCAAAAAACACGTGCAAAACTAACTTCTCTAATCGTGTAACTACCTTCTAACTTCTTTTATGAGAACTTCTGTAAATAAAACACTATAAAATATAATCCAAAATCGAAAACAAAATGTTATTTGGAAAAACAAATTTCATATTTTCCAGAAACGATATTATATAATTTTCGAAATTTTGAGTAGGTAACTTTTAATACAGGTATAAGTAAATAACATACTTCGAAAGATATTTTCATATGTCACGCCAGGATTATGCTTAATTTAAGCAAAAATCAATTAATTTTACGTCATTGACCTTTGAAACGTGCAATGTATCAGATTTACAGTTAAACCGACCCATTTAGAAAGCGACGAATAAGTAATTACGTATTGAATTGTGGTCTAGTGCACGTATATGGATCAGTCTGAATTATGAATATAATTAATTCATCTTTATTGTTTTTTTTTCTAATTTATTTTATGTCTAAATGACTGTAGATGATTGAATAATAAAATAATAATAATAGTGTAATCCAAAGAATTATCAATGACTTTCACAGAATGCACACAGAGTACAGGTTCTATCGTAGAATATATGGTGGAGACGGTCCTTAATTTATTTACATTTTTAGAACGCACAACTTTCATCATCATCATACGATCGTCAATCCTAAGACTGGTTGGACACGTACCTCCACTCTTTCC